TTACTGAATTTAGCATTTAAAGACAGAACTTTGGCTTCTCAGACAAAGTCTCTCGAAACAGTATTAGCAAAAGCAGCCAATTTACTGGAAATCAACTTACCAAAGGACAAGCCCAATTTCCGAATGACCCATTTGCTGAATTGCTGAAGATTGATTTTATTGTGTTGGTATTGTTGGCTTTGCCAATCTCATTTGGAAGACTATCCATGCCAAATTGGTTTCACATTTCAGATGCATAAATCTTCCATTTTCACATGCAAATGACTGCAATTGTGTCAATATGCAGTTACCTTTGTCTTGCCCTTTGCCTTCTTTTCTGTCACCTTTGCTGTCTATGTTGCTGCCCTGACTTGGTTCTGGTGGATAATGTCAAGGCTCTGTGTACACAGTCAGGAATTGTTTTGTTTTGTTTTAGACAAAGTAAGTCCTAGAAGGGAGTCCTGGTGTGGTGATGTAATTGATAAGCACCGGACTATATGGACAATTTCAATTGCAAGGTCAATAATGGTTCAAACTTACATGCCATTCCTTGAAAACCCTATGCAGGGTGACTATGAGTGGAAACCAACTAACAGAACTTAACAACACGTCCTAAAAATATCAAGGAATATAGATTCCTAGGACTTTTGATGCAAATTGCCAAACAATTTTTATTTACTCAAACTGTTTATAGACACTGGTTTGTGATCTTGATTTTAATTCCGTTCTCACTAGCAGTGATTGAGGCTGTATACTTCCCTACACCTGGTCAACACTAAGTTTTGATATATATTTTTTAACCTTCCTAGTAGGTGTTGTAGGATAAACACTGGACTTCTAACCACAAGGTTGGTGGGTCAAACACACCAGCAACTCCTCAAAAACCCTACACAGGGTCACTATAACTCAGAACCAACACAATGGCATTTAACAACAACAATCATGAAAGAATTAAAATGATATTGCAATCACTTTTTAAATGTATCTTTGGTTATTAACATAGATTTTGTCTAATTTATTGATCCGTTTAACTTCTCCTCTCAAATTTTTCTAGTCATGTCCTTTGCCCTTTTTTATTTTTTTGTCATTGTTGTTGAGAATATACATCGCAAAACATACACCAATCCAACAATTTTTACGTGTTCAATTCAATGACACTGATTACGTTCTTCAACTGTAGCCATTCTCAAGGTCCTTTTCAGAATCATTCCACCCCAGCCAAAATGAACTCACCACCCCCTAAAGTTCTATCTAATAGTTCAAGTTACTCTTGTCAATTTAGAAGCAGCATAGTGGTTATGAATCAGGCTGTGAACCGGAAGGTCAGCAGTTCGAAACTACCAGCTGCTCCACGGGAGAAAGATAAGGCTTTCTGCTCCTGTAAAGATTTACAGCCTTGGAAACCCTGTACAGGGTCGCTATGGGTTGGAGCCAACTCGATGGCACTTAACAACAACAACAACTGGTGCTGTAGAATAACTGCTGGACTGTGAACCACAAGGTTTGTAGTTCAAATGCACTAGCTCTTTCGAGGGAGAAAATTGAGACTTTTTGCTCCTGCAAATATTTGCAGCCTCACAAACCCTATTCAAGGTCATCATGAGTCTGAATTACCTTGACAACAGTGGGTTTGGTGTCAGTTGGATCCCACACAGATAATTTTTAAAAGAGCACAATGTTCAAGGCAGACATTCAGGACTGGCTAAGCTAAACTATTGTTGGGTTCTAGGGAGACTTCAAGGGCTACTGCTGGTTTAAGGTTTACAGATTGTCTCTGGGAAATAGTTTTGGGGATTCATTCAATCTCTATGGCTTCAGAAAGTCTGGATTCTGTATCACTGCCTATTTTCAATTTTGATGTTAGATTTTAAATATGTATATATTTCCCCAGTTTGTCTTTTGCCTTTTTACTTTGTTTATCATGAATTTTGAGATTCAGTTTTCATATTTGTCTAATCAAAATGTTTTCCCTTCTTTCCTTTGTTTTTTGTCTTCCTCATTCTGAGATCTGAGTATTTATTTGCATGTCTCTACTTTATTTCATCCAATTTTTAAAAATCAGTTTGGAATTTATATTGCTTGGTATGGTGCTGAAGGACAAGCATTAGACTGCTAACAACAAGGTCAGCAGTTCAAATCCACCTCCCACTCCTATACAGCAGGGGTGGGGAAACTTTTTTTTTTTTCCTGCCAAGGGCTATTTGGATATTTTACCATCATTCATGGGCTATATAAAATTATCAACTTAAAAATTAGTCTGCTATATTTGATCAAACATTTTGTTAACTCACCCTAATGTGATGGAGTCCTGGTGTGGTGCTGCGGGTTAATGTGCTGGACTGCAAGGTCAGACTGAACTGCAAGGTCAGTGGTTCAAGCTCACCAGCCACTTCTTGAAAACTCTATATGGGTCACTATGAGATGGAACTAACTAGACAGCACTTAACAACAACAACAACAATGTGATGGCTGGAACTGCAGTTGCCATGGCAGGGCCAGACCAAACGAGTCACGATGTGGTGCCCTAAGATAAGTACTCAACCTCAAGGTCAGTTTGAACTGCAAGGTTGGTGGTTCAAACTCACCATCCACTCATTGGAAACCCTATACAGGGCCGCCTATGAGTATGGAGCCACTCAACATCACTTAACAGCAACATTACAGCCAGCGAGCAGGACGTTCCCTGCCCCTGCTATACAGTCAGAACTCGCTATGAGTCAGAACTGACTCGATGGCATGTAACAGCAACAGCAGCAAGGATATTTTCTACTTTAAAATGAAAATTTGGACAAGGTTAAGTTGAGCTTAACCAGGAAGACTTCTGGTAAGAATGAGTCCTGATGATGATGGTGGTGTGGATGTCAAGTTGAAGCCACCAAATGGAAGGTATTATTGGGTTTATGTCTCTTTCTTTGGACAATGACTTGAGGTTGGGCATTAGTTATGATGGTGTCAGATATATCAACTTTCTTAAGAAGCATTATATTGATCAACTTTAATGATAGGAAGAAAGATTGGATTAAGGTGCTCTCTGAAATGAGCAATCCAGATTTATGATCACCAATGTACAGGGAGCTTAAAAAATTCATGGAAAAATTGGAATTAAGAGATAATGGACCTTTTTGGCTCTCTGAGAAGCACCATGGTGGTTGGCAAGAACAAGTGCCTTACAAAAGTTGGCAAAAAGAAGCCAAGAAGAAAGTGGTTGATACATTTTCTAAGAAATATTGGTATGATGTGAAGGCACCAGCTATGTTCAATATAAGAAATATTGGGGAAACACTAGTCACAAGGACTCAGGGAACCAAAATTGCATCTGATGGACTCAAGGGTCATGTTTTTGAAGTGAGTCTTGCTGATCTGCAGAACGATGAAGTTGCATTTAGAAAATTCAAGCTAATTACTGAGGATGTTCAGAGCAAAAGCTGCTTGACCAACTTCCATGACATGGATCTTACCGGTGACACAATGTACTCCATGGTCAAAAAATGGCAGACCATGAATTAAGCTCACGTTGATGTCAAGACTACAGATGCTTATTTGCTTTGTCTGTTCTGTGATGGTTTTACTAAAAAACACAACAACCAAATTCAGAAGACATCTTATGCTCAGCACCAACAGGTCCATCAAATCCAGAAGAAAGTTATGGAAATCATGACCCGAGAGGTGCAGACAAATGACTAGAAAGAAGTGGTCAATAAACTGCTTCCCGACAGCATTGGAAAGGACATAGAGAAGGCTTGCCAGTCTATCTACCCTCTCCATGACGTGTTTGTTAGGAAAGTAAAAATGCTGAAGAAGCCCAAGTTTGAGTTGGGAAAACTCATGGAGCTTCATGGTGAAGGCAGTAGTTCTGGAAAAGCTACTGGAGATGAGACAGGTGCTAAAGTCGAACAAGCTAATGGCTATGAGCCACCAGTTCAAGAATCTGTTTAAAATTCAGACTTTTAATGGTGACAAATAAAAGATCTTATTTGTAGAAAAAAAAAGAGATAATGGAAAATTACCATGAATTTTTTGAGGTCCCCTCATAGAGACTTTAAAAACCTTTTGGAGCCTTCCTCCCCAACTTCCACACATATTTGGATTTTCAAAAGGTATTTCTTAAGTTCTTCTTAAAACTTTAACTATACTTACCATCTAACAAAACAGTACCAAAGCCGGAAGAAAAGGAATTTAGTTCTTCCTATGACTCTTTTTTATTCCCACTCACCTCTTACCACACTTTTCTCTATCCTGTTAACAACATATGAGATACAGAAGAATGTAGTTTCCTTTCACAAAATTGGAATAATGCTATTACTCTGCAACTTCCCTTTTTCAATAATGACCATCGCTCCAGGTCAATAAATATAAACCTCATGCACTATTTTAAATAAATAGCTGCATAAACACTCCCCCAACCATTCCTACACATATAACTGCAAATCCTAGAACTAAGTATTGAATAATTTGATTGAGAAACTGAGCAACAATTGTTTATGAAAGATAACAACATGTAATAATTGTTACTAGAAATTAAAATAGTTTTTTAATACAAGAAAAAAAATTAAGAGAAGCAAGCTAGAAAACCCAAATGGTTTTCCTCATCATAATATTTGCTCCATATAACTTCTCCCACAAGTCTAAGCCAATGTTTCTCTGACCGGAGATTTGGCAAGACAAAGCATGGTCAAAGGAAATGCTTACTTCTTTCTGCTTCCCTTAGGTTTACAACTTGGGACATTGATTTACTAATGAATTCCTCAGTTGCTCAATAATAAAATGAAAAAAATTAATTAAATTAAAATTATAGCCTGCTTTTCTTTTTTCCTTCTTAATATTACCACATTTAGGGAACCAAAATCAGCCAGATTGTGTAGACATGCATACAACTTGGAAGTGTTATTGTCAAAGATTTATACTTTCACATGTAACTTTCATGTAGTCAAATTCCTACTTACAAATCTTGGAGTGAAAACAGGTACTATTTTTTATTATATCAATATTAAGCACCAACTGTGTGCTAATTAATTTTCCAGGTAGTGGCTGGAATCATATACTCTATTGCATTCATAGCCAAGGAAACCACATGTTCCAAGGAAAGTAATGAAGAGTTGACTCATAATTGTCCAACCAAGGAAGATGGAGTAAGTGCTAATGACACTATCTTATTCCTTAGAAATTGATTTTAAACAATCATTGGTTTAAGTATCTCATAAACAACTTTATTTTCTCTCTTGGCTTCTGTTTTTGTGGATAGGAAGTTCTACAGTGTAATGCTGACGTTTATATGGTACCTTGGAAGAACAAAATTGACACTACTGTCCGCTGCCTATCACTGGTAACAGTATGATTCTTATTACTGTCTACTGAGGTTTCATTTTGCTCCTTCTGAAAATCGTATTTTGGAGTTGTAAATTAACCTTTTGTGAAAGGAACTGGGGCCAACTATCTTTTAAAAATGGGAAGAAATATCCTATTTCTGTATTGATTTGGTGATCTGCAGTATATATGTGTGTGTGTGTGTGTATAGTATATATGCATATGTGTGTATATACATATAATGCATATATGTATGAATATACATATATACATGTAATGCATGTATGTATATATATACATATAGTAAATACATATACTGGGGTCCTGGTGTGGCGCGGTGGGTTTGCGCTAGACTACAAAGCCATTTGAACTGCAAGGTTGGTGGTTCAAGCTCAGCAGCTGTTCCTCGAAAACTCTGTACAGGGTGCCTATGAGTTGGAATTGACTCGACGGCACTTATCAACAACAACATATATATACTAGTGTTTGTTGGTTGTTATGCGCCGTCGAGTCGGTTCCTACTCAAAGCAACCCAGTATAGGGTTTCCAAGGCTATAAATCTTTATGGGAGCAGAAAAACTCATCTTTCTCCAATGGTACCACTGGTAGTTTTGAAGAGCTGCCGTTGAGGTTAGCAGCTCTACTCATAACCACTACTCTACCAGAGCTCCTATATATCCTATACATACTACACATGGCAAAATCCTAAATGAGAAAAAAATGAGAAGAGGCAACCTATATTAAAGGATGGGGAATTGTGGGTTATTTCTAACTGTATTTTCACTACCTGTGAAAATGGGATGCTTCGAGCAGTGTTCAGTGGTGGAAAAAGCAAGAACGTCAGAAACCAGGAGGCCAGACACTGCTAATGATCAGCATTATGGTAGAAGACAATGGACTCTGATTTGATCTAGATTTGAATTGAGCTCCATTACTTATATTGGCCATGAAACCCTGAACAAATGACATGAGCTTCATTTTTGTTAGGTGTAAAATAGAATAATAGCATCCATCTCAAAGGTTTGTAATGGTGACTAATATGTGTGAAGTCCTTAACACAGTGCCTGGTACAGAGGAAGACTCCATATAAATATACGGTGCCCTGGTGTGGCACAGTGGGATAATCCGCTGAACTGCAAAGTCGGTTTGTACCACAATGGCAGCGGTTCAAGCTCACCTGCTGCTCCTTGGAAATCCTACATAGGGGTCACTATGAGTCAGAAGTGACTTGATGGCACTTAAAACAAACAACAGTATATGTATAATCATCCAGCCTAACATCAACATTATACAAAGGTTACATTTCAAGTTTGTGAACATGCTCTAATAATTTTTAAGTTTAACCAATTGATTGTGGCTGGAGACTCCCTGTCTGTAAAACTTCTCAGGGCCTTTTTGGTTACAAGTAGTAATTGTGTTCATATGGAAATAGTGTCAGTTAATAAATGGTGTGCTATGGACTTATAAAACCACAGGCTTTTAAAAGAAGGTACCCTAAAAACATTATCATTCAACCATCTGTTTTGTTTTGTTTTTTCCAAGATATAGAAAAAAATCTCTCCAAATTACTGTAGAGTATTATTAAAAATAATCAATGTCTGCAAATTTTAAAATTAATCAAATAAGGACAAAATATTATTTATTTCCATCCTTTCTAAAATATTAATATAATATTATGATCTATCAAAGACCTGCTCCATTGCAAACCAAGATAGCATTGTCAGGTCTCATTCAGTCCTTTCCGTCTTCATTGATAGTGTGATTTTCACTGTAATGCATATGTCTTAATATTTCCTGTTAGATCATTGCCATGGGCAGTAAAAGGCCTCCAGGATTTTTACCTTTCCAGTGAGTACTAATGAAAAAGGCAGGAACAGGAGAAATAACAACTGTAAATCCACCCCACACTTCCATGGCACCTGTACAAGATGAAGTGCAGGATCCAGGAAAAGAATAAGAACCCACTTGTGGGTGTCACTGGGGTAGTGCAAAGCAAATAAAGCATGGTGTTGCCCATGCAATAAACATGAGCATGACCAAGGCCATGGGCATCACAGGGAACAAGGCTTTGGCCATGGACATCAACATAGCCTTGGTCATGGACATCATCGGAAACTTGATTATGGTCTTGAACATCAAGGGGGCATGGCCATGGCCATGGATATCAGAAGGGATGTGTCATGGACATAGACATGAACATGGAAAACATAAAAGTAAAGGCAAACACAATGGAAAGCACAATGGTTGGAGAACAGAGCATTTGGCAAGCTTTTCTGAAGATAGTCCAACATCTTCTTCACAGACACAAGAGACAACAGAAGTTCCAACACCCATTCCTTTCCTGGGCAGCCACGTGTAGCAGTTGCCTTTTCTGGCTTTCAGGATGCCTAATGCATCACCAACTCTTGCAGAGAATGATGATGACCAGGTCCCTGATGACCAGATAGAACCAAATAGCCTTCTACTGAAAATCCTGGTATCTGATTTTCCTGAAACAACCTTCTTCAAGTGTCCTGGATGCCCCTGGAAGCGAGTTAATGGGATGAATCTAACCATGGAAGTGAAAGAATTTCATGATTTTGATCTCTCTCATGCTCTTTATTAATTCATGCAACCATGAGTATTTTCTTAACCCTTTATCATCCCTTTCCCCAACAGTCCAAACATGGTGTATAAATACCCTGTTAGAATACACCATGAAATATCGCAACAGCCCACATCAAAGTGGTGAGACTCCCAGTGAAGCCTGTCGGTCTCTATAGACTACATAAAACTGGGTGCAGAACTCTAAATACATTATGAGTCTGCCTCACGAGTTTTCTATGCTAGCACAGAAAATGGATCAACTAATTTGCCTCGGGCCTACTGCAATATTCTTTCTGATACCAAATGTGCACCTTAAACCTACATCATCAATTTTCATAGATTCTTCACATTCTGAATAACCGGAGATACCTGGTCCTCGAAAACATGTAAAAATAAGGGAGTCAAGAGCTTCTTAATGGGGGAAAATGAAGAAATTTTTCAGAAATCAAAGAGAGGAGAGAATAAAGAAGGAAGAAGTAAATTGATTAACTTTCTATTTCTTAAATGGACTAATGACCGACAGACTTCACTGAGAGTCTCACCACTTTGCTGTGCGCTGTTGTGATATTTCATGGTATATTCTAACAGGATATTTATACACCATTCAGTCCTTTCCCTCTTCATTGATAGTGTGGTTTTCACTGTAATGCATTCATATTAATATTTCCTATTAGCAGAAATCGACTAAAAGGCCTCCAGGATTTACACCTTTCCGATCAATAGCACTGAAGCAGGCAAGAACAGGAGCAATAACAACTGTAAGTCAACCCTACACTTCCGTGGCACTTGTACAAAATGAGGAGTGGGATCCCGGAAAAGAACAAGAACCCACTCATGGGTGTGACTGAGGTCATGCAAAACAAATAAAGCATGGCATTGCCCATGGCAATAAACATGAGCATGACCAAGGCCATGGGCATCACAGGGGATATGGCTTTGGCCGTGGAAATATGTAAAAATAAGGGGACTCAAGAGCTTCTTAATGGGGGAAAATGAAGAAAAGTTTTCATAAGTCAAAGAAGGATAACAAGAAACAGAAAGGAGAGAATAAAGAAATAAATTAATTAACTTTCTGTTTCCTAAATGAGCTAATGATATCAAATAATTACTCCCATTTGGCAAAGCTATTCTGATATTTTCTGGATGTTTTTCATAAGTCAATAAGTTCTGTTTACTCATTAATTACTCCTTGCCACAGAACTTGCAAATAGGAATGTTCTGTTTGTTGTTGGAAGACCAGATTGAGTCATCCTTAGACTTAAGAAACTTGAGTTTAAGATGGAAAGCAGAGAACATAATATAAAACTTGCTAAGGAATCTTTTTTACTGTTGATAAGATAACATCATGGAAGGGGATGCAAACATTATTCAGTAATTTTGTAAGACAGCTCCACTCTAGCCTCACTCTATAATTGAATTGCCGTTTTGCTACCACATTGAAAACCACTGACATA